GTCGAATCTGAATCACTTGAAAAAAACACGGGGGTGCTTAACTTTTTTCCAGGTGTATATATAGTGTACACTGTTTGCTCAACATTAATTTGTTGATTATATTAAAATGAAAATACGACTTAAGCACATGTATAACATTTATTTAGCTTTTGAAAGAAGAAAATACTGTTCATGAGTTACATAATTTTTCATGAAAGTAAATTTTCTATACACATTTTTTTCAGCTAGAAGGTATATTTTTGTAAATAATAATACTGCTTTTTATAATGAATAAAACAAAGTCATAGTAAAAAAATCACTATCATAAATAATTATAATCTGAAATAGGTATCAGCCTTACATGATCCATGAAAATATCAACTAAAAAAAAGCACTCTGTTACACAGTATTATTTAGAAAACTTTAACTGATCAAGAAAGCATATATCAATGCTTTGAAATTAGCAAATTATTGCAAAAGCATTTATCAATATCAAATGTATTCATTATGCCACCAATACCTAATAACCATTATATTATGGAGTAAAAAATATCCATTAATCAGCAATGGCTGTTAATAAAAAAAAATTGTTTCAAGGTGTTCAATTTTTACAATAAAAGAAACACTAAATGTGCATGTGCACTTATGGCCTGTAATATAAAGTCCATCTATTGATTTTGTTTATAAATATTTGTGTTTAACATATATGGATTATAAATAGCACATATTAATTCTGGAAAATATACTGTGTTCTGTTTTAAAAAAATATTTTTTTAAGGAATCATTAGAAGAATGGTCATATTTTATGAATTTAAGTTTTAATTAAAGTAAAAAAAATCCTACTTTGACTAGTTTTAATAATTAGGTGAAACTTCAAACTTTTGAATTTATGGAGAGTTAGATATTAATGCTTTGAAACACTGAAATTAGCAAATGACCACATGAGTATTTATCAATATAAAATAATTAGCATTAATATCAGAATAAGCAAATTTATATATATAACAATTAAGCATAAGCAATTAGTACTACTGCTCTTATAGTGTAAAAATCTTATTTTGATTAGAACCATGTAAAATTTATTTCTGAAATTTGTTTGGCTTAATATCATGTTTAAATTCCATTAGTTTCAGTTTAAAACTATTAGTTAAAATACCAAGTAGAACAGATACCTTAAAAATGACCAACATATGGGTAATATATGTTCAGCTGGCATACTTTATTTGTTGGTTTAAGTTATAATGAAAATAAGTGAAAAAAATATTGGAAATAGAAACCTATTTATTTTTGTATTTAAATTCAAGGAAGTTAAATCAAGGTCAAGATTCTTATTTGTAATGATAATTGTAACTGATTACTTTTTCTTGGAACTGAAATACAAAATTTAATAATTTTACTATTCCCAATATTTTTTCACATATATCTGTCATTTTTCTCAAAAAAAAAAGTATAAATCATTTTTGGGTTTCACCAGGCAAACAACATATTTCACAAGACCTACTATCATAACTGTTTACTTATATTATACTTGTGAAATAACCTATGGACATTTTAATACATAAAGGCAGACATATACTTTATTACATATTTCATAACTTCATTCTGCTACAAATACCTAATAACTATTATATTATTAAATAAAAAAATATGTATTAATCCAGAAAAATTGTTTCAAAGTGTTCAATTTTTCCAATAAAAATAATAAATGTGTGTGTCAACTCATGGCCTATAAAAAATAAGCACATCTATTGATTTTATTTGTAAATATTTCTGTTAATCATATATGGATTATAGATATCACATTTGTATTTTGGAAAATATACTATGTTCTATTGTTTTTTTTAATATTTTAGGAATCATTAGAAGAATGGTAAAATGTTATGAATTTAAGTTTCATATAAAGTAAAATAATTTTCTACATTGACTAGTTTAATAATTAGATGAAACTTCAAACTTTTGAATTTATGAAGAAAGAATATACCAGTACTTTCAAACCTTAGTTTAATTAGTAAATGGCTACAAAAGCACCTATCAGTCAACTAACTAACATCATCTTAATGCAGAAGGACCTGAAGAATTAATATATGAATATGCAAGTTTATACATCACAATTAAGCATAAGCATAATCATGCTGCTACTCTACTATCTAACACTTTCATTTTGATTAGAACTAAATAAAATACCAAAAGGCATGAAAAATCTTTCAAAGACTCAGTAAGGAAACTACTTAGTTAAATTACCCTTGATGACATCATAAGTGTGTGTGGCTTGTTTAGTATGTGATTAGACCATTATTTTCAGTTTTGTATTACTACTTTAAGCATCTACAAGTCTAAAACAATGCTGTTTTTATACATCAATAGCTCTGTGAAATATTCATGATTTTCTTAGTTTAAAGATATGAAGCTATACCGTACTTCAGTCTAAGCCTCTTCTAATATTTTATGCTTATTCATTATATTTAACAAAGTACTGTTACGACAGCGGAAGTCACGTGACGCTGGTAACACATAATGCGTTCTAGAAAGATCAGGGAACATCACGAATAATCCAGTATTTGCTAGATGCCCTCTATTCTTGTATATAAGTGCACCAGACAATTAATCGATATAGAATTGCAGACAGACAGAGACAGACAGTTGAGTCAAGTGCGGTAGTAAGTAAATGGGTGAATCGTTCCCCGTGAATTATAATGTGTTTTTATAAAATTAGTTAAGTTAAATTGGCTGTGGAAATTAAGTGTATTGCAAAGTTGAATTGAGAAAGAATAAACTAGTTTTATTTAAGAAAGGACTTGTGTTGCTAAAGTTTCATCGGAAAGAAATTATACGGGAAATTAACTAATGACCAGAGACGTAACACTACTGAAAACAGAAATCATAATTATATTTCAAATGTAAGTGCCAGCATTTTGTGTAGTTTTCTAAACGAAGTTGCTTTCTGCAGTGATTCTTTGAGATTTGGCAAAGGTTAAGAATATTTGTTCTAGTGTAGTGTCACTAACTAGATAATCCTCCAGGTGGAGCTTTTGTCTTGCATCTTCCATGATACTGAAAATATGACTCAAAGGGATGGAGTTATCTGTGATGTGGTAGTGAAGCATACCCTGTAAAAACAAAATAAACAGAAATGTTAAATGTGACTAAAATAATAAATTACTGAGCAACTTACTTGTCATTATTCCTTAACTGTAATACATTGCTAACCATCAGGCCACACCTGGCAACAGGTGATGTTGATGACAACTTTCTTTGATCAATAACTTAAATTAAGATTAAAGATTTTGAAGTATTGTCTTCAACTCTAATACGTATAAGAAAAAAGGTGGAAAGATTGACAATTGGAAAGTTCAGCGAGTTCATTAACAGAATAAACTTTTCTAACTATTTCACCACCACCTTAACCAACTCTCCCGGTGCCACCTAGATTTATCCTTAGATACACAGAGAAAGACGTGTTGTTGTATAATAACTTGCATCTCAATTATTACTTGTCATGTCAACATGAAATTGCATAAGATATTTCACAGATTATCACACTCTCAGACTGTAAGAACTCTTTAAGTCAAATAATTATTTGTGCATTTATTTCCAAAATATAATTATGAGTTAGTATGTAACATTAATGATTTTATTTCATAACTCTTTCTCAGAAATTTACTTAAGATCACACTTTTCAAGGATAAAACAAAAGTTATACACTGTTTAAATCCCACATATGAGCTCCTAGCAGTGACAGAGTTAAACAGTGATATTTTACAGTTAAAGCAGCTTAAAATAGTTTGATATGAAAGGAAATTATAAATTTGTTATTTACTTCATGATATAGTTGAGAAAGCTATGAACACTTAAACTACATAATTTATTCATTAGGCATACATACACCTTAAATCATTACATAGTGTTCAAAATTGTTAGCCACCACATGTGAGCACATTTTATGGATGACATTTCCATATTTCAGTTGAGCACTAAATAGTTATGTTATTGTTACCATAAAATAATGAACTTAAAAATTGAAAAGTTAACTTTTCTGCATTCCGTAATTAGAATATGAAGAATGGAGAATAAACTTCAAATACATTTGTTATCTTGAGGTAACCTCTTAAGTAATTTTCTTTTTGTATGTAAGGCACATAGTTTCATATCATTGTAGAGTATTTTCTGTTTTGATAAAGCTCATTTTTTAAAGAAACCATGTATTAAACTTAATTATATGGAAAATGTTCTTCTATCTTTGTAAACATCCATTTCTTTTAAAGATAAAAGAAAAGTTATGATATTGAACAATGTAATATGTGTTATTTTTTCTAAACTTATCAACCTATTACTTCACATTTCGTTATCTAATGATCAAGTCCAAGTTGATGATTGATAGTTCAACCAAATAATTAACTTTGTTCTTCTGACGGTTTTTATATGAGTTGTCAAAATTCTCTATTCTGAATCATGAATATGCTTTTTTTTAACATTTATAACTAACCTGATGAATATCCTTAAGAACAGATCCTGGAAATTCCTTTTGAACAAATTCTTGTAAGTTCGATACTACATTATTGTCCAGAGCTTTATCTCTCTCCAGTTTAACAATCAAAGTTGATCCCTGGCCAAACTTTGACTTCAAGTATTGTATTCCTCCAAGACATCTAAACTGACCATTGACCATTATAGCTAGTCTGGAACAAAGTGCTTCACATTCTTCCATGCTATTAAGAAATAAATATATTTGATGAAAGTACAAGTGATTTTTAATGATGTCCATACTTAATACTTCTTTATTTCTATTAATTGAATAAACTCATGTATACCCTCTTTCAATCTCTCTGTTTCTCACTTTCCACAAATACTGTACAATGTTTTTGAGTTGGTGAGAATAATTCCCCATGAGGGACAGTATATCTGGGGAGGCTTAAGCCTCTTATATATGCTATCATTAAAAAAAAACAAAAATGTTAAATATATACAATAAATATTCAACAGTCTAAAAATAAAATTCTAAAGCTTAACTCTCCAAAAACTAGCACTACTGTGTGTTGTAAGAAGTTAAAAAATTAAAATAGTCTAAAGTAGATTCTCAATAAATAAAATAGGAGATGGAATAAACAAGAGAGAACCTTGTGTTTCTTTCTCTTTTCTTCATCCATTATCTTTTATAAAACTTCACATATCACCTGATACTATTAGAATTATTATGTTGCAAACACTTGATATTTATAATATAATGATACATAATCAGACCTGTGGGTTGTAAGGACTACAGCCATTCCACTGGAAGCCCTGATTGTTTCTAAAGCAGTCCATATTTTTCTTCTAGCAATTGGATCTATTCCTGAAGTTGGCTCATCTAAAAAGACAACTGCTGGGTTTCCAATCAAAGCAAGTGCTAAAGACAGTTTTCGTCTATTACCACCACTACAATGTAAACAAAAATAATCTTTGTTTTTATCACCAAAAGTTTTACATCAGAACATAGATAATTTTTCATATGTTTTTTTTATAAAGTTAAAAGATTATTTGTAAAAAATATATACTACTAAACAAAATATTATGATAATAAATTATATATCATCAAGTACATTAAAGTTATATAAAAAATATTTACAGTTTGAACTTGTATATATATACATATATAAATCCTAAGATTGTTGCTCTTTGTGAAAATTTGTCATAAAAGACTGTTGTACTCCAATGCAAAGATGATTTGTTTACCTCTCATTTATTTTGTTAATTTTTAGAAGTGCAAGAATAATTACTTTTCTGAGAAATGAGTTTCTGCATTAGAACACATAGGACTTATTTTCCTTTCTAGAATGAATACTGTAGTGTTTGATAATATTATTCACATTACTGATATTTAATAAACATGCATGCATATAAGTTCAAATATAGCTTTTGCTGTAAACTACCAGCATACAGGTTTCAGTGTAAAGTTTTTAAACACGTTCAGTGAGGTACTGTGATTCAATTCATGGTCAAAGCCTCAGTGAACAGACTTAGTTTAATTCAAAACATTATGCAGAAAAATAGTCAATTTAATGATAAAAACTGCTTAAAAAACACAACTTTTCATCTTGCTAAAGCATAATACACTGTTCCACAATTGACTTTGTGTTGGACATGCTTATAAGGACACTGGTTGGTGCAACCACAATTAATTAATTAATGCTTTTGAATGATACATGTAAGTATGCAATCCTATCTTTGTTCATAAAGTCCTGTTCACTAACATCTGATTTAAAATGACGTTTCAATTGAATTTAAAAACTTTATTATTATTTTTTAATTCAATATCTAAGATAGCTACTTTTAACAACGCTTTCTATCTTATGAAGCCTGGTTTTTTTATGAAATTGTATCAGATGTATAGCTGATTATGTTTGTTGCAGAAAACAAATAGATATATTAATTACTGCAGCCTTATTGTTTTTAGAATATTTGAATAATTATGAATTACTTCACCTTAACTTTTAAAAAACTGAACAGCATGTCATTACTACTTAATCCCTTTCAACCACAGACTATAGTATCTATGTAACAGCTAATTCTAAAGGACACAGACACATAAGCTAACAGAAACAATTAACCTTCAAAACTTCTAGAAATACATTTTATTAAATGTATATTATCAATAAGTGTGTTCATAGTATTGAAAAAACAACAAAAAGGAACTACTTTACTTTTTTGTCATATACAGTATTGTTAAAAAATACCTTTACTAGCCACAGCTAGTGGGTTAAAAAAATCTGATATTTATACAAAACTTATGCTACTTATGCTTTGGCATCATATACTTAGACAATGAAATTTGTTCCATGTTAGCTTGTAAATTAAAAATATCAATAAAACCTTAAAATTACTAAATGTACAATATATGAAGCCATTTTCTAGGTTTTACCTCTTGATAAGTGCTTCACAATGAAAGTTATTAATTTTTGGTTTGTTTGCTTGTTTTTATTGTGAATGCATTAATTATAAATATATCAATTTATAAATGGGGTTCTATTCTAAAATATATAATAAGGTATCTAAGTATAAAAGGAACCATTTCCATAAGTCTACCTGTATTTATCTGTGCGTTTTTCTGCATGATGCTGGAGGTCAATCATCTCAATGATTTCTTGAACAGTGTGACCAATTTGTGTTTCTGGTATGCCACGTAGACGAGCAAAGAGATACAGCATTTCTCGACCTGTTAACTTGTCAATCAGAGCATCAAACTGGGGACAGTAGCCAATGTGTTCTTGAAACTACATAAAAAAATTATTAATGAGCAAACTTACGTTCTTAAAAATAGTAAATTGTTTTATACTTTTGAACCTCATTAAACCTATTTGTACAGGTGGGAGTTCCAGTGTGCATTCCATGCCCCCTCCCCCAATTTCACAAAAAAATTGTACGTATTATAATGTTAACTTAACATTATTGTTAAACTAAATATTATTAGTAAGTTTATTAAAACTGCAAACTTGTGTTTGCTGCACTTAAAACACACAAACACATATTTTTCTAGCCTGTAAAAGCTGATACCCTATATACATATTTTGCCTCCTTTAAAGTATTTCTCAGGGCATCCATGATAGAGAAACTGAAAAAACCTGTACATATGCATTTTGGAGGTTCTAGAGGTTATGCAAATATAATGTGCTTAGTATATGATGGACAAAAGTATCTCTATCTTTCAATGAACCTCACCTTACACTCCAACTCAGAGTCTGAGGGGTATCATCAATTCACAGACAGAAATATGTGAAATATGAAGCTCTGGTGAACTAGATGGACCAAGAGTCAGAAAAAAGGTAGTAGAATCAAATGTAAATGAAAACTTTGTTTTATCCAACTCTGAAGATGAAGGACAGAAAGATGAAAGTACTTATGTGGCTTTTCAGGAGGAGTCAAATGAGGAACTGCTAGTTCTAGAAGCAAGACACAGCTCCGACAGTACAAAGAACTAATTGGTATGGCTGAGGTTAAACCTAATCATCAAGAACTAAACCAGTTACTCATTGTAGGATCATTGTCTGCAAGGAAGTGGAAATCCTTGCTTTATAAACTATCAAAATGTTCACCATACAATATATATACGCTACGTTGAAAAGTTTCCACTACCATAATGATAAAACAATTGGAGCAAGTGGATGTAATGTCTAGTACAATAATAGTTTGCACAACTACAGATGATAGCTAAGAGTTAGAAAATTCAATTGAAATTGTGTTGTGACTCTTGCTTTCTGAGATATTAACTGACATTAGGGGCATTTTGTTGATTGCAAGATTATATGGGATCAAAAGGCCTTTTTTGCCAGTATCTTCCAAGATATTGAGTTGAGTTTCACTGTAACAGATATCCAAAGGGTATCTGATGATAGCTGCTCAGTTAACATAGTTTAACAGTAGATGTAATATATAGTACATCAACAGTTTTCACAACTGAAGATAATAGCTAGGAGTTCAAAAACTCATGCGAGTGGAAGGTCTCTGATGTTTCATGAGAACCACTCATCCAATCTAGCTGAGTGAAGAAAAGTTTCCAGAGAATAATGTATAGTCCTCACTAGGTCGTTTCCAGTACATCTGAAAGACTTCTGTACATGCAGTGAGGGAAATGTGTTTTGTCAGAATGTATATTAATATAAACTGTAGTAACAGCATGAATATTAATCCTGAATTACAATAATTGTAGCTAAAAAGCCTGAGTTTAGTTGATTTTTTATTTTGTAATCTCTGAAATGAAAAATACGAAGTTTGATAACTTGTAGGTGGCAATACTATACTAAACCACAGCTACTGAGTAGTAGCTTAAGAAATGGTTACCAAATAATTTGAGTGGGAGCCAGATGCAGTATATTGTAAAGTACTAGTGTATGTGACAATTTGCAATAAAAGTGTACGTGTATAGCTATGTATGTGCATAAATAAATACACGTGTGTAGGAGTATGGAATATTACACAGTGTAGGAGCATTATATGAAGTCATTCATGAGTGTTGTATAACACAAATGGATCAATTACATAATGCATACAACTATTAAGCAACATATGAATGGAAACAAAGGATCTGACCTGGATGTTAAGACTTTGAAATATTCTGAGGGTAGTGAATTATCATGGAAGAGTAAAATTAATGGAAAGTATCACACATCTGAGAGAAAACATAGTTTTACATGCTGTTTTTCTGTAAGAGTAGTGCTTAATATTTTGATTGGACCAAATTGACATTTTTTGAGCAGGTGAAATTTTCAATAGCACATGAAGTTTACATACAGTAGGTTAAATAGCATAACAAATATACACTTGGTATACTCAGTGTTTTATTTGGTTGTGGTAGAATATTTTCAGCCAAGTAGATTGAAATATTTAGTAAAACATGTAGTTTTCTAAAGATTTCTTAAAATGGTTTCAGAACAAACTGCACTATAAGATGCACATAATTGTAGGCTATCAGGGGAGGTGGAAGATAATACCAAAGTGGAGAAATTTGTAAACTGTACCAAAACTTTAGTAAGTTTGTAACTGAAAGAAGGTTTCCAAGGAAATGTAAATATTAGTGCATTTTAATGGTAAAAAATAAGGGTTGGGGTCACCTAACTTGAGTCAGTTCATGTTTGTCGGATCAAATATTACAGTTTTGATCCCATTTCCTTCCTACTGGAACCAGGTACTGCTTATATGACAATCAGATGGTAGTGAAAGGAAAGGACCTAGGTTGAAGGGTAAGACTGTCAGCCATTATAGCAGGAATAAGTGGAAATGCAAAGAGGTCTTTGGGCTGAGAAGTTCATAGGCACTAGGAATGCATGTTCTACAGGCAATTAGAGCATAAGCACATGTGAACCCTGAAGGAATGTCACTTGACAACAGTAATCTGTTAATCACTCTGCCTCCAAAGGTAGTTTCTAGTGGGGAGTGGTGATTTTAAATAGGAACTTATGGGCCTTTTTCAATTTACATACCTGTATGACCTTTTGACCAATTGGAATTCATGTAACCTTACATTTTAATTCTGGATTTTTACTGTTTAAGATGGAATTCTTGACAGATTTGACTCTGCTGTTCAACTAGCTAAATCTTCCATTACCTTGAATTGCCATGAAGGACAAAATTTATATGATGAACATCAATACACCTAGGATTTCTTGTCAATAAACATCTGAACTTTGAGGCAACCTCACAACTCTCAGAGCTGGCTTGATGTTTGATGCATTGGAACCATGGATGAAGATGCATCACTTACTGATATATCTGATGTAAGTGACCTCCCTCTGTCAGTTTTTGGGTTAGCCCTAAGATCCTCATGGGCCAGGCAACCTCTGTTGACCATGGACCAGCCAGTGGAAGGCAAAGCTTATCTTGGAATATAGTGGTACAAGCAGAAGAAAAGCCAGTCTACCCAACCTTGCTGATAGGCCAAAAACAGAGGACATCCCTACACCTTCTTCAGCTCCTATGAAGATGGACTTTTGGCAATCCACCAAGCAAGTGTACAGCAGTTGACAGGTGTGTGTTCATCTCATGGAAACAATACTAGAGGTGCAATCACCTTCGACGGGACCACTAAATATCACAGTCGAGAAATATGTCTATGAGGTTACAGTTAACTCTCAAATTGGTATGGTTCTGTGAAAGTGTTTCAGAGTCAGGGTTATGAAGATCTTACTAGTTTCCACCACTATCATTGGTAGGGTAGCAACCCATAGCTCTTGGTAAGTCAGATGCCATCATCAATCCTTGTAACAACATTAATAATGTCTGCAGTATAATGGTGGTCAAGCCACCTCCACCCAAGAGGTTCTACAAGACCCCAGAATGGGAGCTGAGGACAATCCTACCAATGATCCAACTAAGCAACATCATTGTCTAACTGACCCTGCAGCAGATCTTGGTGCTGAAGTGCCACTGCCAGGAGATGGTTGCAAAGTATATGGAAGCCTGGGCCCTTGGAGAAACACTCCAGTCTCCTGACTGAAATACTAAGTCTGACAGCTAAGTTTGGACCTTGCACAGATTAGGGAAGCCTTGGCCTGAAACATCATATATGTCACTACATTAGCTAGTCACTGGTCTACCACCACTCTAGAGGGTCTGCAGCTGGGATTGAGGTGAGTTGAATTGTACCTTGTGCTTGCCATTCGGTAAATGTGTATTTTGTATATATTCTTTTTTTAGTTTATTTGTATAAGTGTGTACATTATATATTACAGACATATCTTAATTTTGCCCTGTTTAATTATCGATTTTAAAGAATGGTATAGTATGTCTAGATTATCAATCATTGTTAAACATTTAATCTTATTTTTGTATTGTTTTGCAATCATTACTGTCTTTTACGGTGATTTTGCTTAAAAAGGGCCTGTGTTAATGCTCATACATGTTTTATTTTTTATTAGGATTCATTTGATAACTGTCCTCTTGTTGTGTTATTGTTTGGTATTCTTTCTTTTTATTTTTAAAAAGGGTTTAGTTTGTATGTGGTATAATTGACTAAGTGTACCTCAAAAATGTCATTGTTAAAAAGTTTCTGATTATTTATTGTTTCACAGCCTCACAGTGTTAGATTTCTTTACTTTTTCCATAAGGAGAGTTTCACAACCTCAATCAACAACATGCAACACAAAATTTTGTGCTTCATTTCACAGAATATGGTGGAATATGAAGAAAAGTAATCAGTTAGGATTGAGTAATTATAATGATTTTGAATAAGCAAATCAGTAAGTCACATGACAACCACAGCCACTTTAGTGTCACTGTGGAATGTAATGTATCAGAACTACATTTTGACATTTTTTTGGTATTTTGTAGGTGTTGTGATGCTCCTGAAAACTTATATGTTTTGGGGAAGGTATACAACAGTTTTCAGTGCAAAATATTTATACAGTCAGATCATAAGTGTTTTCAGACTGGGGATTTAGAATTTCCAAGTTGGGGATATCCTTTGAACTTAATGGCATTGAAAAATAAGTGAATATGAATCAACATGGGGCACCAGAACCATCCAGAAAGAAATTTACAACAATCGTACCAAAACTGTGGTTACCAAAATGTGGCATTGTGTAACAGGTGTCATTCCACAAACACAAAAGTCAGTGACAAAAGCTGTCCATTTGCTTTAGGCAACAGCACATAACATAATCTAATCTAATCTGTAAAGCAACACAAATCATATATACACAAGCTGCTTCCATGACACATTCAATAAAGCATTGTATACCTTAAGCAGCTGGAGAATGAAATGAGTATTCATACTATTCCATATGAAGACAAAGTGGTCAAAACACCAGATGCAGTCCTTCTGGATTTCTGTGCAACTGGACTGTTGAAATGGGTGCTGGAAAGCTATCATCCTTGTGGAAAGCATGCAGGGAGCAGTGATGATCTTATGACACAATGGAACTTTTGCATTGAAAACTATGCTGCAGACTTTTGTGAAAATGTACATTTATCAACTAGAGCGTGACTGGAAGTAATATGGACTGTAATGGCTTGGTGAAACTCCAAAATAGTTTTAATGTAACAAACCAGGAAAAAGTTTAGAAACAAAGTGTTTACATTCAAAACAAAATAATATGAAAGTTAAGAAATTTTGGTTAATTTAAATAATCTTATTACACTTTTCAAATCCTGCCTCAAGCTGTATTCACCAATATATGCATTTCCATCGGTCAGCATCAAATCTCCTGTCAACATCCTGAAAGTTGTTGTCTTTCCTGCTCCATTGATACCAAGTAAACCAAAGCATTCCTTCTTATGCACTCCTAGAGTCAATCTATCCACTGCACACAGAGTGCTAAAGTATTTGGTCAATTTTGTCACCACCAATGCCTCAGATGCTACTTGTCCTTGCTGAAGGAGATCTTCTATACGATCTTGTTCCTGTGTGACATCCACATCTTGATCTACATACATGGATTCAAGTGAAACAGATGAGTGTTGGATATTTTTTACTGCAACCTTAAATTGGTACCAGAATCGTGCAAGGTTTGTCTCCACTATGAGGAGGAATGAGAAGAATATTATTCCACTTAGAAAGAGAATAAAGATATCCCGACCACAGCCATTTCTATCCCAAGTTACTGGGTTTGTTTTTGGTACGGTGCCATCATTCTGGTACAAAGCTGAAAAAGAAAAAAAAAATTCATACCCAGATTTGTATTAATATAAAACTACAGTATGTTTGCAAATTATTTGGTGTGAAAATGTTGTACTGTCATGTGGTTATCTAATTTACCTTTCTTTACTGCTGATAAACCAACGAATTTTCAGTGATAGTATATAACTACAAATCTCTGCACTTGTGTTACACTATCATTACATTAACTAATATTCTTATATTTCTCTGGCACAGTCACCATTTTGTGGATATTACTTCATGACATATACCTAACTTTATGCCATGTTGTAAGCTTACCAGATTATTATAAATATTTTTTTTCAACAATTTGTTACAATGTACATTTAAGTAGGATTTCAAAATTAGATAATATATCTAGAAAAACTGAGGCCCTCTGTCAGAACTAATAATTTATTTTTGACTTATCAAATATATATGTTCAAGTAATTATGTTTAGAAAATTGTTTTTAAGAAAATGTGAGGTTAGTTACACTACGCTAGTCTGTAATCTTAGTACAAACTGTTGATGATCTAGGTTTTATAACTACTGGCACCAGCCATCCTAAATTATGTTAAACAAGCTGCTGTTATCAGAAATCCTACAGATATCTGTTAAAATGAAACTCTGCTTGATAGCCCTGAAAATAATGGTTACAAAATCCTTTCAGTCCAGTTGATCTATCGAGGAATAGTCCATTTTAACTCGGTGTTTGAGTGGTAATCATACAATGTAGTGCAAACATCAAACCCTAGAATACCACCACATTGCTGAGAAAGCATGGATCACAATACCCTTCCAAGTAATTTGTTGAACTCCTAGCTATCATCTACAAGCTGTTGGTATACCAGGAATTATTTCGACTAGTCCTAACTAACTTAGTTCTATGGCAATATACTGGAAACTACACAATGTAATACATACACTATATGATGAACAACACTTGATAACTTGGATAGCAAGGATCACCACCTCCTTTCAGTTAGCGATCCTACAATCAGTAACTGCCCTTGGAAAATACCACTTCCATCACAAAGAAGCCTTTTTTGAACTTAAAGAACAAGAGTTAAAGGACAGTACATACTTCAGCAGAAAGAGTAAATTTCACAATAAGATAATCTGTAGTCACAGTGCCAAACTTTCCTCCTTCCTATCTACTCAAGTCGATTTGAATTAAATAATTGAGTGATGGGATAGGTCTGCAGAATAACAGGAGATTCACAATATTTATTATGGAACAATATTGAATCTCAGAATAAATGAACCTGTGGAAGAAAAGGACTTGATACATGATAATGCACAAAATTAAAAATATTTATTAATTTACAAATAAAGTGTGTGTACTTGCTGTTGTTAAGCACATGATGGCCAGTTCTATTGGATGTTATGTCTTCAACTGATCAGGCTGTTTGAATCTAATGCTCCATACTCTACAGATAATGTCACATTTACCCAGAAGGTCAAGCACTTTCCATGTGACTGTTCATATTCATGCAAACAAAGGTGAGGCCATAGCCTCAAAATACCATCTGTTCTACCATTGAAGGACACTTTTGTCAACATTCTTGCACAATGTGCAGTATTACAGCAATAATTCACACAGATAGAACAGATACTATCTCGTAGAGAATGACAAATGCAACTAGAATGAGATAAACTTGACAAATTTCTTGACTACACATTATGTGAAAATTCACATACAGAAAATAGATTACAAATTCAGATATAATAATATAATACAAGATAGAAATACAAGGTATATTTATATACCACACTCAAAACTTAAGTAAGATCTTTAGAGACCAGGAAAATATATTATTGTTTGATACTGAAAGACAGGGCTAATGCAAACATCTTGATATAAGTGTAATTCTCTTGACTTATGGTTTAACCTCTTTCATGATTTGCTCAAGATAGCTCTATGTTTCAAAAAATATTTTCCCGAGTTAATTTGGACAAATCATTTCTCACCATATGTTTAACTTATCATGTACAGTACACCACAGATTTTCCGGCACCTCCTTTAATCCAGACAAAATTACGAGAGTGCACTTGAAATTCCCACGACTGCCAGACTACTTCACTGGGTGGCCACAGATGGTATTATGTGTGATGCACATTACATTTTAAGTAGGTACGTCACTCTCGTGAAAAGTTTCTTATAAATATTAAACTAGTGGATCAAATTTTTTTTCATGAATGTTGCCAAGAATATGTAGTTTAACTAGATACAAACATTTAGTTTCGATTTTTTTTCTTCAATTTTTTATAACACACAATGTTGATAATAGTGTATGAGAATTAAAAATAGAACATATTGAACATAACATTAATAGTAAAATTCTAAAATTTGCCACTTTGGATGCGGTACTACTGCAACATTCTTTGTAAGTACAGTAATTAATAAACCTTTTTCATTTATACTGTACTAATAAACCTGTATTATTTATACCTGTACTAATGTATTTCATTAATTATTTAACTTACATTTAATATTTGTTTTATTTAAGATTTTAGCAGTCCATGGTGCTTTAGAGACATGGGAGGGGTATAATTAGTTGGTCAGAGGTGTATTGTTGAATTATTATCATGTGACCTCTGTTGGTCTGGCAAAACAGATAATTTGGTAAAGCTCTGGAACCAAGGGTGCTGGAAAATTAGTGATGTACCTGTATTATGATAAGCTATTAAAAAGCAAAATAAAAATAAACTGCCAAAAAAAACCTGACATGAAAGGGGTTAAGCATGAGACAGCAATCTCTTAAAGAGAACTTACGTTTTAGCTAGTTTATTTCAGTTTTCAGGATTAGAAAATGTAAAGTTAGCTACAGTCTAAGGTTATAAAATGAAGAGGAAAGTTGCTTTTGTTTCAAGCTTGGAGAGAGAGAGAGGGGATAATAGATATGCATAAATGCTGATAGAAAGCATGTATTTAGATGGAATAACCATATTTAGAGTGCAGCTCCCTCTGAGGAAGCTAGCTGAAAGCTTTTCTTCAGATATGGGAGCATTTTTGTTCAATATTGCTAGGAGTGGGTTGCTTGAAAGCTTTTCATAAAGGGAGGGAACATCTTTCTCAGTATTGGTAATAGTGGATGGTTCAAGCTAAGAAAGAACTACCAACACTAGCTTTGACAGGAATAAAAGATCAGTTAAATCTTTTTCACACATTCAAACACTAACCAAAATAAAGAAAGATGCTAAAAACATGCATTTGATGTATTGCTTTTTCTTTTTGCTGTTTGTCTCAAAACTGTATTAGTTTACAACTGTTAAATTTGATTGTATAAGGCAGTAAGTTCATTAGACCCTAGCTTGAAGGAAGAGGTTCTAGTTTTAAATATTTGTTAGACACAGCCCTTTCTACTGTGTTAGGGATTTCTGCCACTAGAATTAAATGTAATTAACTTATGTTTTTAGCAACTTGAGGGTCCTATTTAAAAAGATAGTGTTATGACAGCAGAAGTCCGTGATGCTGATAACATGTGATGAATTTCTCAAATGGTCATGAATTACCGGGGAAGACCGAGTTTGTTTGAGATGCCCTTTTTTTCAATATATAAGCCTGGCAGAGAAAGCCTGAATGAAGAGAGTTCCGGGTAAGTTACAATTCCGTTTCGAGCTAGCGTGTGAGAGCGAAGTTATTGAGATTGTGAATCGCTGTGATTTATAGCGTGTATTGTAAAAGTAGTTAAGTTTAAAGTGACGAGAAATGTACTGATTGTGAAATTACTGTGTGCTAAAAGTTTGTATCGAGGAAGAATAAACTGGTTTAACCAAGAAAGGATTTGTATCACTGAAGCTTCTAATCTTGGCAGCTATTACAAAACTTTGCCAATTCCTGTCCCAGTGTCCAATTGCACTTTTCTACCATCCCATCAGACTGTGGATGAAGTGGCATTGTCCTAGTCTTTAGTATGCCAAACAACTTGCAGCATTCATGGAACACAGCTGATTGAAAGTTACGGGCCTTGATCAGAATGCAGTTCATATGGCATACCAAACCTGAAGAACAGATGTAGCTTCCAGATTTGGTATTGCATATGCCTCTGGCCACTTGGTGAAATAATCCATCACCACACAAATGTACCTGTTTCCAGCACTAGATCTGCAGCAATCACCAGCAATATCAACGGCTACTCTTTCCATTGGTGCACCAAATTGATA